CAGCAGCACCTATTCCTTGTTCTCTAGCAGCAGTCTCTGAATATGCATCGGGGCGGAGGGTGTGGGCCCTCAGCATGCCATCAGCATCATCGCTGTCTGCGTCAGAAGGTTCATCTGCTTCTTCTGCTGCTGCTGCTGCTGCTGCTGCTGCTGCTGCTGCAGCAGCAGACTCGCCCGCACCATACGCTTGAGGCCCCCCTAGCTGGCACCGGCAGCAGCTGCAGCGAGAAGAAACTGCCTCTGGTGTTGCTGCTGCAGCAGATGCATGTGCTGCTGCTGCTGCTGCTGCTGCTGCTGCTGCTGAGCGACACAGTGGAGCATCTTCTTCAGGCCCTGCTAGCCGCTGCTGCTGCTGCAGCAGCTGCTGCACCCTGTTCGTGCTGCTGCCTTCCTTTCTCCTGCAAGCATCCATAAACATATCCATAGCATTCCTGCTGCTGCTGCTGCTGCTGCTGCTGTTGCTGCTGCTGCTGCTGCTGCTGCTGCTGCTGCTGCTGCGTTGACGGTCTCTTTCCCTTTCTGCTGCTTGTAGATTAGCCTGCGTCAGCAGCATTCCTTCTTCTGTTCCTCCCCAAGCACCAACCCTGCCGCTGCTGCTGCTGCTGCTGCTGCTGCTGCTGCTGCTGTTGCTGCTGCTGCTGGTGTTTGTATTGACAGTGATGATATTGGTGCCGTGTTTATACTTAAAGTTCTGCAGCACGAACCCATGCTGCTGCAGCAGCGCGGTGAGCGGCTGCAGCGCAGCAACTGGGTTGTCTTGTATCTGAACCCCAGCAGCAAAAAGCAGTTCTATATTTTCGAGTGTATCTACATAATCTGCTACTATCATTTGTAAATTAAATAAAACTAAACCTTGCAAATGAAATGCTTCCATTGCTTCAGGACTTGCACCCTCGAGGTCTAAACCGTCCACATCTGCTGCTGCTGCTGCTGCTGCTGCTGCTCCTGCTGCTGCTGCTCCTGCTGCTGCTGGTGCTGCTGCTGCTGCTGGTGGTGCTGCTGCTGCTGCTGCAGGGGACTGCCATGGCCCGTTGCGGCCGTTTTCTCCGTCGTTCACCCCTTCTTCTTCTCCCTGCTGCTGCTGCTGCTGCTGCTGCTGTTGCTGCTGCTGCTGCTGCTGCTGCAGGTGTGCTGTCAGCAGCAGGAACCCTGAGACCCTGAGGAGGCGCAGGGGGGGCCTACCCCATGGGGGTAGATCAGCTAGAAAGGAGTAAGCAGCAAAAAAAAGAAAATCATTAGCAAGGAGACGAAAGGGGACGTCTAGGCCTTGCATGCGCGGATAGAGAGCAGCATCGTCACACACCTGCTGCAGCAGCAGCTGATCGTATAGAGGGAGAGAGAAGCGGGGTAGCCGCTGCAGCAGCAGCAAAGAAGAAGAGAGAAGGAGGTGTTGTTGCTGCTGCAGCAACAAAGAACTTGGTTTATTATAATCTATATATATATCTATCGTCGGGATTGCATGCGCTGCTGCATGCAGCTCAAGCAAAGCGCGAGCTTGCATGCGTGGGTCTAAAGAAAATTCTGCTGCTAGTGTTGCTGCTGCTGCTGCTCGTAGCTGCTGCTGCTGCTGCAGCGGTAAACCCATATGAACACCAGATAGCTGCTGCACCACATAAGGAGCACCACCAAACACAACACCATCCACACGACTGCTGCTGCTGCTGCTGCTGCTGCTGCTGCTGCTGCTGCTGCTGTTGCTGCTGCTGCTGGGTTGAGACCACACACCAGATATGCCTGCTGCAAGCAACTGGTCTTCAAGGCGGCCACGGGATAACTCAAGAGCGTTGCTGCTGCTGCTGCTGCTGCTGTTGCTGCTGTTGCTGCTGCTGCTGCTGCTGCTGTTGCTGCTGCTGCTTTGTTGCTTCTCCTGCTGAGGCAGCAGCAAGACCCGCAGCGACAATGACATCCTCGAATGTCTGTTACCTGCCTCTCAACGCCCCACCTGCTGCTGCTGCTGCATGCTGGGGTCTGTGCATGGGGAGCGTTTGCTTCCATGTGCAAGAGGGGCAGCA